GAGTGAGAGAGAGAGAGGGGGAGAGAGAGAGAGAGAGGAAGTGTGTGAGTGTGAGAGAGAGAGAGAAAATGTGAGAGAGTGGATGTGGGTGTCTTGTCTGTTTATGAGGAAAGGTTGGACAGACTAATTTCATGTCCACTGAACTTTAGAATAGCGAGAAATGATTTGTTTAAACATACATGAGTCTAAGGTTACTGTTTAAAATCAAGAACATCCCTTTTCAAACAGAGATGAGGCAATTCTTTTTATCTCATACAGCCATGAGTCTTTGGAGCGCTCTTCCTGAAAAAGTGATTGAAGTCGAGTCCTTGAATCTTTTTAAGGCAGGGGTGGATAGATTCTTATTAATCAAGGGTGTGAAAAGTAGGTGGGAAAGCGTACTGAGGTTACAATCAGATCGGCCATACTTGTATTGAATGGAAGAGCCAGTTCAAAGGGTTACAAGAATACTGTGGACCAGATCATTTCAGTCTCTACATGGAAACATCTACCATGCAGCAGAATCAAAACAAATAATAAACACAAGTTTTTATTAACAATTGGAAACAAATACTCTGTTGAGCATGTACTTCCACACAACTAAAGGACTGTCCAGTAATTAATCAGCTGTCTGCATCTCTGGATGCACTACAAAAAGTGCGGTACTGCTCAACACAGATGAAAGGTCTCCATTTCAATCAAGGGGTTATAGAACTCAGGTGAAGCAGCAATGATGAGATTAAATTTGGCTTCAGAAAAATAGATGATTCTTTTCAAACAGCAAGTTGTCTTAGGCGAGAATGCAATTCCTTAAAGTGATATTAGCATAACTAATATTAAATTTCAAAAGGGAATTAAATAAATGCATGTAATCGATAAATTTATTTCGCTTGGGGGAAAGAACAGGAGAAAAAGTCAAACTGGATAGTGCTTTCAATGAGCTTGAACATAATGAGCCAAATTATCTCATTCTACACTTTCATTCCATGAAAAGGAGAAGGAGAGAAGAAAAGGGAAGAGAGAATGAGAACCTGAAAGAACGGAGTACCTACTGAGTTGCAGCCAAAGTACATTCTGCTCCTGACCCAATATTAACAGGATGGAACAATCATTTTGATGCAATTATGAAGCTGCAGCAGCTAAACATTAGGAATGCTGATGTGAATTCCACTAATATATAATCCTTCAGCCAGCAGTCAATAATCTAACACAAGCAACTTCTAGTCAAGAGAGCATCTTTCTGGCTTGACAGGTTGTAGCATTTGAACAGTGTCTCTGTCTCAAACAGTAAGCATTGATCAGGACTCTCTGGTAGTCACAAGGCAACTGTATTGTACTGTCTTCAGAACTGATGAAGAATCATACAGTTAACT